AAGTGCAGCTGTGAGCATATAGGAAACCAACCCTTGGGGTCTAGACTCTAGACACTGGTGGTGATGATGAAGATCTGGATTGATGAGGAGAAGGGATGAAGAGGATGCTGAAGATCTGGATTTGATGAGGAAGTGTGATGAAGAGGATGCTGAAGATCTGGATTTGATGAGGAGGTGTGATGAAGAGGATGCTGAAGATCTGGATTTGATGAGGAAGTGTGATGAAGAGGATGCTGAAGATATGGATTTGATGAGGAAGTGTGATGAAGAGGATGCTGAAGATCTGGATTTGATGAGGAGGTGTGATGAAGAGGATGCTGAAGATCTGGATTTGATGAGGAGGTGTGATGAAGAGGATGCTGAAGATATGGATTTGATGAGGAAGTGTGATGAAGAGGATGCTGAAGATATGGATTTGATGAGGAAGTGTGATGAAGAGGATGCTGAAGATATGGATTTGATGAGGAAGTGTGATGAAGAGGATGCTGAAGATATGGATTTGATGAGGAAGTGTGATGAAGAGGATGCTGAAGATATGGATTTGATGAGGAAGTGTGATGAAGAGGATGCTGAAGATATGGATTTGATGACGAAGTGTGATGAAGAGGATGCTGAAGATCTGGATTTGATGAGGAGATGTGATGAAGAGGATGCTGAAGATCTGGATTTGATGAGGAGATGTGATGAAGAGGAGGTGTTTTTTTGGTTATCTCTCCTGACTCTGGATGTAATGAGAGGAGGTAGATGGGGTGGAGGCCGCAGCATGAACACCTGAAATCACAGCTGACTGCAGGAGAGAGGAGAACGATTTTAAAGTTTGACTGCAGCACGATGATTGGCTGCTGGAGTTTGAGGTGAAATGTGATTGGTTAAAAGAGAACACCCACGATGAGCATATTATATGGAGCTGTGGAGTGAATGAATCTAATAAATAAATATATTTATATTATAGCATGTCATAAATAGTATTTAAAAAATATGTTTAAATCATAGTTTAGCTTGCCTTAAGAAAACATATGTATTAATGTTATAGCATGTCACAAAAGGTCACATAATGTGATTAAAAGAGCATGAAAAATCCCAGTTCAGTAAGGGAGAATTGACTCGCAGTTAACAAGACTCTGTGTTCTCCTGCCTTTATGGGAACAGAAGTCAAGCAGCACAAAGTGACCCATCTGAAGCTGGCAGAGCTAAATGGCAGATTCCTCACAGCTCTGCAGAGTCCTCTTAGCAACACACAAAACCACACTGCATTCACATGCTGCACACACACTCTTATGGCTCCACAACACACACACACACACACACACACACACACACACACACACACACACACACACACACACACACACACACACACACACACACCATGTATACATCCCTTCAGGGGACATTACATTGACTTACATGTATTTCCTGGAGACTTGTCCTAACATTAACCATAACCAACACATGCCTAACCCTTGCCTTTAACCTTACCCTAACCCTAACCAAGTCTTGACCCTAAAATTAATGATTCCCCTCATGGGGACCTCCATTTTGTCCCCATAAGGGAGGCGAGTCCCCACACGTGACTGTGTAAACAGTATAGTAATGCTAGACCACACACACACACACACACACACACACACACACACACACACACACACACACACACACACACACACACACACACACACACACACACACACACACACACACACACACACACACACACACACACACACAGAGACTCACATCCTGCTTTCACTGCACTGACTGCAGAGAGAATGTTTGTGCACCATCAGGACTTCGTGATCTCTCTCAGGAATATTAGATATGATAGTTTATTCCACTTTTAGTAATGCAGATAAGTCACTTTGGATACATTATCAGCTGAATGCATTGAATATCTGGCAAAAAATATTTTTAAATAAATCCTCCTGCTTTTTCCATTATTTAAAACAACCTGGAGTAACTGTATTTCCATATGAATTAATTAGTTAAACCGTCATTGAGTAATCTTTCCTTTTTAGTGGCTTATATTGGTATAAAAGTTGTAGATATTGCATAATTTATAAAGTAATTTGGGAAAAGATTGCTTTTCAATTGCTTCTATGTCATGTGACCCAGTGACTTGGAATCAATGCAGCATTGTATGACTTCTCTGGTTGTAGGACACAACTCTTTAAATTTGATTTTAGTCTATTTTTAATTTTTTAATTCAACAGTTTCTTTATTGAAAAGTTTTGGATTTATTTTAGTTTTTACATTTTCAAAGGGTAACTATAGTCTAACTTTTAACAGTTCAAAAAGAACCTTTCCAACACTCGTTGACATTGTTTTGCTCACAATGTGTAATATCACCCGAGCAATAAAAGTAAACCGTTTTGGTGCTAAGCAATCCAAACTAAGAGGAAATAGTGTGAGTGAGAGATGGGTGGGGTCTCTGATATAATGTGTGTTTTCAGCAGGGGCTTGAGCAACAGCATGTGTGTGTGTCAGTGTGTGTGGGGTGTTCACACTATAAACAACTGTGCCTATTTTTAGCTGAACAGAGGAAAACACCCCCAGGCTCAGGAAACAGACACCACTGTGTGTGTTTTTGTTTTTGTGTGTGTAGGGGTGTGTGTGTGTGTGTGTGTGTTCTGTTTTTCTCTTCATATGGGGATTCAAATATCATCTCAAACAATTAGAAACAATTATCAAATTGAGGAGTTTTGCGGGTGTTTTACTAATAACTACAAATAATTATGTCACAAGTAAACTAAGAAGATGTCATGAATATCATTGCTGATTATACATACTTTATGAATGTGTGTATGTGTATGTGTATGTGTATGTGTGTGTGTGTGTGTGTGTGTGTGTGTGTGTGTGTGTGTGTGTGTGTGTGTGTGTGTGTGTGTGTGTGGCCTAGCATTACTATACTTGTGGGGACCTACATCTGTTTACACAGTCACGTGTGGGGACTCGCCTCCCTTATGGGGACAAAATGGAGGTCCCCATGAGGGGAATCATTCATTTTAGGGTCAAGACTTGGTTAGGTTTAGGGTGAGGGTTAGGCATGTGTTGGTTATGGTTAAGGTTAGGATAAGTCTCCAAGAAATGCATGTATGTGTATGAAGTGATGTATACATACATGGTATGTATGTGTGTGTGTGTGTGTGTGTGTGTGTGTGTGTGTGTGTGTATGTGTGTGTGTGTGTGTGTGTGTGGTGTGTGTGTGTGTGTGTGTGTGTGTGTGTGTGTGTGTGTGTGTGTGTGTGTGTGTGTGTGTGTGTGTGTGTGTGTGTGTGTGTGTGTGTGGTGTGTGTGTGTGTGTGTGTGTGTGTGTGTGTGTGTGTGTGTGTGTGTGTGTGTGTGTGTGTGTGTGGCAGATGTTAACACCTTGTCACAGCAGCTTGTTAAAAGCAGCAGTGTATGAGCAGTTGAACTACCTGTTGGGTTGGTGTTGGTTTCTGTCGAGCTCGTTGTGCAGACTGTTCTCACAGAGAGTTCACTCCGGGCTGTTTGGCAGGAAACCTCATCTCTTCTCTCTCTTTCTCACACCTTCTTCACAAACAACATTTCTTTGCTGACCGGTACATTTAGAAACTGCCTCTCGCTCCACTTTTTGAACATGTCTGATTTAATATCATTTTCGTTCCTCCACAGCGTCATTTATGTAGCCTCTTGTTTCTGCTGAAAATAACTATGTATTTCATTTCAAAGAATGTATTGTACCTCTCGCTTGAACTTGAAACTGGTAACATGAAAGGGAGAATAAAAAGAGATAATATTAAATGCTCTTAACCCTTAACATATATTGCCCAAAAAGCTATAAATACATGTGACAGTTTTTCCAATAAGCAGGTGTGGTAGTTGAACAAAAATAAAAACGCTACTTTGTCCTTAGACCATAACCTTTAGTATTATTAAAACATCCTGCTAACTAAAACAATTCAACAGGACAGCAACCAAAATCAGGTCAGAGGAAGCATCCCAAAATAACCACAAACTGAACTATTTTCATTCAAACAAACCCAAACCAACAATGTGCTTTCATCAGTACTTCCTGTCTTATCTTCCTTTTTAGTAGCACTCAGACCACAGGCCAATCACTGAAGACGTGGTTCTTAAAAATAAGTAAAAGACTCAGCAGGGCAGCGTTATTTCAGGAAAACATCAATAAAAAACACAAGTAATAGTGCATTTCTTACAGACTTTTTCAGCATGTGATGCTCTATAGGCTAGTGAGTATTTTCGGGGCTCCAGTAAATATTAAAGTACAAAAAAATACTTGTCTATACATCTTTTTTTAGCCATTAAAGGTAGGGTAGGTAAGAATGGAGAAACCAGCTCGAGTGCACTAGAATTTGAAAGTACGCACCCAAAAAAAATCTGCCCCTTCCTTCAGACTTCCTCACAGAGCCCCTCCTCCAACACACACGAACGCGCACATGACCAATGAGGGCACGAGATAAGTTTGTGCACAGATGGAAGGCTGACAGGCAGGTAGGCCATCCAGTTACTTTAGCCGGGCCGGCTTTTTACAGCGCCACGGCTTCCACAGAGGATATTTTGTTATGTATTTATTGTCAAAGCATTTAATATATTCATTGCTATCGGGATGTTAAGAGCATTCCATGGAATATAACAAAAAGTGTTTCTGAAGTGAATGACCATACCCCACCTTTAAGTTCAAACCGACTGCTGTAATCATATCCTTTAAGAGTGATCACAAGGAAGGAAATGGACATTGAAATGACATCACCTGTTATTTAGCCCGTGATTTAGTCATTCAGCTCACTCGGCTCATATGTCCACCCCATCCTCCTTCCTCTACAACTGGACATTTTCCACAATTGTCCCTGGATAGCGGCAACTGATTCCAGCAACATCTATTGTAATCCCAGCGCTTCCTTACATTTTTTTTATAGTCGGCTCCCTGCTGACAGACGCACATGTAAACAAAGCCTGAAAACAAAAGGTCCCCAGTCCCCCTTTAGACTATTGTATAACCACAGAGCACACTCGAGTCATTTTAACTTATAATAATAACAATATGTTTATTTCTGTAAACATGGCGGTTATATTGGCACACAAACACCTTCACATTCCGTAAGTTAAAATAGCTTAATAGATACAAAACAAGAACGAATGACACAGAGGGGAAGGGTATGAGGAAAAGGTGGAGGGGGCATTTTTGTCCAGGAGCAACAAAGTCAGCGCAGAGCTTCTTCTTCTCCTTCTTCGGTATCAGTCCAACACTGATCCGAGTTCAGACGGAAGACCCTCCGCCTTCCTCCACTGTGCGTTGCGTAGCTTGAACCATTTCTGCAGGACACAAACAAAAGGAACTAATTACAAACACACCCATGGGAGGTGTTGCAGGAGGTTTGGTTCAGAAACAAAGCAATGAGGTAATTTACAGAATACAGTCATGACAGGAATATTCCTGAGAAGCAACACAGGTGGAGTGTGTGTAGTGTCAAGAGTGATCTGGACAAAAATACATCCTCAGGCCACTGGGTACATACAGTATAGGCTTCACACCTGTTATTGAACGATGCCTGGACACATGAGGAACTAAAACAACTATAGGATGACTATGTGATACTTAAGTGAAGTGATTCAACTGGTATCGATTACAGTTTGTTTGAATTTAAACACTGCAATCTCAGAGGTGTGGATATAGATGTCTGGTTAATAATATTACCATTGCCATGTGATGGGTTTAAAGCTATAATAACACCTGCTAGGATAAATCAGTGCTTTTCTTTCTACTGAGATGAAAAACTCAATCAAATTCATGTCTGTGAGTGCTGTAATCAGTATGTTAACCTAGCTTAGCATACATATGAGCGCTACTGGGATATACAGTAGCTAGCTTTACTTTTCGGCAGTAATAAGGACAATGCGGTCACCTGCTTAGCCTCATTAGCGCGTCGTATGCTGTTAAATGTGCACCCTAACATCATTGCCAAAATGACAACATCTGCAGTGAACTTATGCGTCCAGCTTTCAAAGCATTTAGGTTGGCTAACAAGCTCATTAGGAACATGTAAGTCAGATTTGAACATGCTACGCCTTGAACAAGTTAACGTGGCTACAGTTAGCATATCAACATCTTCTGTCTACAGCAGCAGAAATAAGCTGACTTTTTTCATGCACCATTTTAGCATGCTAGCATTAGCCTGTTATGATACATGAAAACGTCCATATGTATTTTAGTAGGCCTATACGCACGCTTGTGAGTTTATAAAAAGAAAACGATAACGGTTTTGATTAGGTTAGGATTAAATAACGAAAATATTTTAGCACAGTCAGATTTAAAGGGGAATTAAGGATTTCCATAACTGGTTTTATTTTTGTTGAGTCTTTTCGTGACCGGAGCACCATCCTAAAAGGCAAACCCTACATCTAAATGATACGCCTAAAAGACAGTCATAGCTGTAGCCATGTTTCTGACTCAATTAAGTTCATAATTACGTTACACTTATATTTCTTTGTGAGTTTAGGTGTGGTCTCTGAGTCACAGTGACACGGCAGTGACCCCGAGGCGAAGTTGTATTATGAAAACCACGAAAGAAATTTTTTTCCATCCGACTTTAGCAGGCTCCTCCACAAATAAGTGCGCCACTGAAACCCTGACTCGACACACACACACACACACACACACACACACACACACACACACACACACACACACACACACACAAACACACACACACACACACACACTTTATAGACGTGCACCTGGATGGTTTCCACATTTTGTCGAGAACACATGAGAATCCCATTTGGAGTCATCTGTGTTTGCACTTAGGAGTAAATCAATTCTGCTCTGCGTTCATCTGTGTGAGGATTTCATATTCGTGTAGCTCCTCTCTGTGATGCAGGACATTCATTTTGGGGGGAAATAAACTATTCTTTAACATTAGATGTGTCCAAACTGAAGAAAATCCAGTCTATACAGTCTTTAAAATGCCATTTTCTCTACCAGGTTTTGAATGGAAGTCAGATTACACACAAAACACAGAAGCCATTTATCCTCTGAAAGTCACAACCCTGTTTAGTTTGCAATCCTTTTCAAAGTGGAAAATACCTTTGAATGTCTTTTAAAAAGTCCTATAATCCTGCTGACCTATACACTCGTGCTTATGTTGTTCTTTCAAACTGACTATAGGAGTGGATTACATAACCAGGCCTTTCAAACTTCTCTTCACCTTTGCTGACTCACTGAAAACAAATACAAGTGATCTATGAAAGGAGCTTAAGCATGCCTTACAGAGGTTAGAGCATGTTGTAAATGTGAAACGGGGAGTGGAGTTCGGGAGTGTTTCTCCAGCTAAACCTTCTCCAATGAGAGCTTTGTTAACGCTCGATAGGGGGGAAGCGGTAGAAAAAAGGCAGAAAAAAAACCGCTCATCAGCTGGAAATGAATTGAGGTCTTTTGATGAGGGGCCAGACCTTTACCTCACTCTGTCAGGTTAGCCCTCCCACCTTTGTGTACCATGAATGGAAACAGTCACTGACACTGGGAGAGGAATTAGGACGCAGCGCAGAGCAGTTTTAGTTTATCTAACATCTTTCATCGGCTGAAAAGCTGCATTGTAAACCTCAGTGGAGCCAAATAATGAAACACCTTGGATGTGTTAGAAACGAAGGTGGTGCTCTGCGGTAAAAGAAGTAAGCGAAATGTTTTGTGTGAAATTGCCTCTGGGTTTCCACACACGTCTTCGGCGAGAATACATCTTAACAGGCTAACGTTAGCATGTTCAAATCGCTTGAACGATACATGCGAAATGTAAGCATCTGCTGTTTTAACATGGATTTTAATGTGCTTTTTTAAGCCATGTTCGCATGTTCAAACCATAGTATGTTCATTTGTGAGTCATATGTGGTTTATGAGCTTGTTAGATGCTTTGATAATGGGCCATACATTTCTACACAACTACCAGGAAAAACATATGCACTTAGTCCGTCTAAAACTTCATTTCTGGGTTTATTGAGGACTGGATTTTCTCCTCTTTCAAGGCGTTTACACATCAGGCGTATGGCCATTTACTGACATGAACATGCTGGAAAAACAAGCTAAACTATTCATACTGGCAGCAAATTAAATGTGAGAGCCAGGTCAATCTTCAGAAAAACACATTTGGATGGAAGGTTAAAAAGTTACGTGTATATGGCCAGGGCGTTTATTGTGAAAGGTAACAATTGTGGATCTGGTAGAGCTGACTTTATCAAGGTTTAAAATTGTAATAAAGTTTGCAGTCTTGGTTCGGACTGTCGACTATAGATTCAAATCCAAAACATGATTGCTTGATGCTTTTATTCCCCCGAAACAACACATTGTTTCGATAAAAAATGACGTTGCCTTCACGCAACTTGGTCATGATAGAGGGTCATCATTCAGTACGGACAGAATGATTACAAATAGTAAAAATTGCAGCGTTTACGAGCATGTACGAAGGATTTGAGGGAATTTGAGACCCTCTACTTTAAATTTGTACTCTATACACATTTAACATAAATATCAGTTTACTGTGGTGCATTATGGGAACATTACGATTTATACAAGGGATTAAAAGTCAGGATATTGCAAATCGTCGCTATAGACTTTTTATCTAATTCTCTCTCACGTTACCCTTATTTATGGAAATGAAATATTAACCATGGAGCATCCCTTTAAGTATTGAGGCTTAAACATCTCTGGACTGCAAACCAAAGCATATGTTGTCTTTTCTTTCAACATTTGTAGCTACAGTGATGCAGAAGGCTTGGACAAAATTGTAAAAGAGGCCTCCACTTTTAATACAAACTACATCATCAGGTCTACCCGTTTACACCTGAGGGCTGTGTGACTTCAGCCCTGAGAAACCTGGATGAACTGGTTTGAGGAGTTGATGTCACAGTCACACGTCAACGAGTGAGTGACAGGTGGAATATTTGTACTGTACTGCAAAGAGCTAGGACACACCTGTGCCAAAGCTAATTATGAAAAGGACACACATTTCCCTGTCATGTGAGATATTAACCTCTCAAGCACAAACACTAGCAGAAATATTTGCCTATGAGGTGTTACGTCAACGCAAATGAAATAATTTACATGTAGGGTTTCAACAGTGGGTACAGCTAAGCAAATACAGTAGGCGTGTTGTTGCCCTGGAAATTGAATTGAAGAGGAATACCAACAAGGGCTGGGGAATATGTCGATAAATTAGATTAGATTTTGGATATCGTAATATGGCATAAGCTTTTTCCTTACTTGGTTTTAATGGCTGCATTATAGTTAAGTGATGTAACTTTCTGAACAAAGCTTGATGTTCTAGCTTTTTCTATTATTTGTTATATCCACATTACTCATAGTAATTGCGTGAGATCACGAAAAGTCAACCCTAGAATATTGTCGCAATATCGATATGGAGGCATTTAGTAAAAGAAATGTGCAAAATAGATTTAATGGGGAGTGGTGCGGGAATGAGTCCTAGAGCAGGAAATATGTTAGTATTTTAGCATTTCCAGTCTTTCATCTTGAAGTCAATGGCTTTTCAATCAGCTTTTGGTGAATTTCCCCAAAACAAGGTTGATTAAAATGTATACGAATGTCATGTTTAGTAACATACGTCAGTAAATACCCAACTGGTTAAGGTACGGTTACAAAAGGAGGTTGCTAACAAGTGTCTCAATGAGACGACTAAACGCCATCAGGCCGAACACTAGCTGCCTTTAGCTTAGCGGTGGTGACGTGAAGTCATGTGACCGTGCTGTAGTTCTTTTATAGCCTAACGTTAGCCGCCTTTAGCTTAGCGGTGGTGACGTGAAGTCATGTGACCGTGCTGTAGTTATTTTATAGCCTAACGTTAGCCACCTTTAGCTTAGCGGTGGTGACGTGAAGTCATGTGACCGTGCTGTAGTTCCTTTATAGCCCAACATTAGCCACCTTTAGCTTAGCGGTGGTGACGTGAAGTCATGGGACCGATCTGTAGTTCCTTTATAGCCCAACATTAGCCACCTTTAGCTTAGCGGTGGTGACGTGAAGTCATGTGACCGTGCTGTAGTTCCTTTATAGCCCAACATTAGCCACTTTTAGCTTAGCGGTGGTGACGTGAAGTCAGTGACCGTGCTGTAGTTCTTTTATAGCCTAACGTTAGCCACCTTTAGCTTAGCGGTGGTGACGTGAAGTCATGTGACCGTGCTGTAGTTCTTTTATAGCCTAACGTTAGCCACCTTTAGCTTAGCGGTGGTGACGTGAAGTCATGTGACCGATCTGTAGTTCCTTTATATTCTAACGTTAGCCACCTTTAGTTTAGCGGTGGTGACGTGAAGTCATGTGACCGATCTGTAGTTCCTTTATATCCTAACGTTAGCCACCTTTAGTTTAGCGGTGGTGACGTGAAGTCATGTGACCGATCTGTAGTTCCTTTATATCCTAATGTTAGCTTTTTACTTCTGGGAATCTGAAGATTTACTCTTCAATAATCATAAAGTGGTGTCAATATCTCACAGAGTTTAATTTGCTTGAAGAAAATGTGATTGTTTTTTTATCCGAGGGAGCCATTGAGATGCTAACTTCCAGATCTCCATTTAAAAGTACGTCATGAATGCACCAATCTATTCCAACCCCACAAACTATACCTCATTACGGAGAGCTTTTACAATGATCCATCAGAGGGTTTACAGGAGGTGCCTTTCAACATGTTGTTATTGGCACTCTGAAGCTTCACATCTGGCTCCTGATGTGACAGTTGCACAGACTTACAGTTAGACATTCCTCAGATAGAGGCATGGTGGGAGTGTTTACATGTGGGAGAGGGGTGGTGGTGGGAGAGATTAAATACCTAACTAGTAATGTGATGTTTTGTCATGTTTTCCACTTCAATTAATGCCTCTAAGATGGTCTGAAATGGGAACATGTGCACATCCGGCCAAGTATCACTAAAATAAACTCAAACTTTGTCAACAATAGAGACTTCCCTCACTGATGGATGGACGTATGATCTTTCCTTAAAGTTGTCCTCTTTAAACTTGAAGTCCCCCTGTGGAGATCAATCAGTGTTCGTAAGAATGAACAAAAGATTCTTCCTGAGCTGAAACAGAAGCAGGAAACTCCACTCTGAATGACTTCATCATGTAGAACAACAGTGGAGCAGACGATCAATGGGGCGCTGCCGCCTCTGTGGTCAGTGTTGACGTGCAAATGACAATTATATCATTAGATTGCGACATTTAACCAGACATATTAGCCAGGGATCACACACAAACCTGCTGGATTAAGTTTCATATCACAGATTTAAAATGTTGTTTAGCTGTATCTTCCTCTAACTGAGACACTGATATGAAAACTGACACACACTCTCCTGACTTGTCAACTTTCTTGACACTAACTTGTGACACCATATTGACATGTTTCCTGAGTCTAAGTGAACAAGTTCGGTTTTTTCTGTAACTTCAGTAAAACCTCTCACATTTGCATAGATTTAAAAATAAAATAGTATATCTACTAAAGTACTACTGAGGTTAAACTACTCAGTGACATAAAATGACACTTAGTTTCACCCAAATGCGTATTGAAAATGAAAATGCACAACAACATTTTGCATAAACAGTTGAACAACTTGGCATAGATGATGATGTGGTAAAGGAGTTGGCTACGTGCCTATATCAATATCTCATTATTTATATAAATGCGGCATACTGTTTGTTCAGCAACACAATTACATCAATATAGTCAGCCTAAAAATTTACAAATCTAGATTTATGACCATATTAATACTACATATTTACTAAGTCCTGACCACACAAATAGAAAAACCAGTGTGGTTACTATGTCTGCTACAAGGATACTGTACACATATCATATGAAAGACATGTTTGTAAAGGGCCACGGCTCAATTAAATGACCGTAAATATTCTTAAATCACCATAAAAGAAAGGTTGACCACACAAAGCGATCACACAGCAGAGAGATGGGTTACTCCTGCTCATGGTCTATGGGAATACTATACATTACACGTTTGTAAAGGTCTAGAATACTACACAGAAAAACTGTAAAATGACCACTGACATGTTTAAATCACCTTAAAACTAAAATGACTTTCTTAGGAGTTCACCACTTGGTAACAGTCTGTATAAGAATATTACATTGATATATACTATTCAGTAGTACTGTATACTATAGGAGTTTTCTGTTATCAAATTATTTACAGAAATGCCACTTAACACGTTTCAGCCTTAAACTCACACATTTAGACTTGAAAGCAATGTGAAAACTCACTCGTGTGTCCTCAAACCCTTCAATTAAGATGTTCTACACTCTTATATTTTCTAGAAATGCTGCTTTTCACTGGATTCCAGCCTAAAACCACACAATCTGACTTGCAAAGATTGTGAAAAACAAATATTTTATTATCCCATCTGAACAAAACTCAGAATACATTTGAGTTGTTTCACATTAATTCTCTATACTCACTTGTGTGTCCTCAACACAGCTAATATTAAGATGTTCTATTACCTCATTTTAAATAAAATAAATGCTGCTTTTCAATACATTTTAGCCATAAATCTAGACTTGAAAACACTGTAATAACACCCTTTTTACCCCATACTGACCACAATACTAATAACAAAAGGGAGTTTTGGACATGTCAGGTCTCTATACTCACTTGTGTGTCCTTAAAACCTAATATCAAGAAGTTCTACACTTTTCAATACATTTTAGCCATAAACTCACACATCTAGGCTTGAAAACATTGTGAAAACACACTTTTTACCCCATACTGAGCACAATCTCAAGAAAAGAGTTATTCTTTTCCACATGTTTGGTCTCTCTACTCACTTGTGTGTCCTTAAAACCTAATATCAAGAAGTTCTACACTCTTATATTTTCTAGAAATGCTGCTTTTCAATACATTTTAGCCATAAACTCACATCTAGACTTGTTTGAAAAACACCGTTTTCACCCCATACTGTCGAATACTAATAAAAGAGGGATTTATTTCTACTCACTTGTGTGTCCTCATCAATAGCAAGAAGTTCTACGCTCTTACAATTTCTAGAAATCCTGCTTATCAATAAACTTCAGCCAAAATGTACAGATGACTTGCAAACATTGTGAAAAACACATTTCTTTCACCATTTTTTTAGCCCATCTTAACACAACTCAGTATAAAAGACCGTTTGTTCACGTTATGTCTCTTTACTCACTTGTGTTTCCTCAACATTATTAACTCGTTATTTCTAGAAATGCTGCTTTTCAACTCACACATCTTGACTTGAAAACCCTGTAAAAAACACTCTTTTTTACCCCATACTAATAAAATAGCGTTTCCCCCCCACCCCATGTTTTGTCTCTCTACTCACTTGTGTGTCCTCCTCTGACAGCCCGCACTCGGCTGCGATCAGCATGAGCGTGGTCCCGTCCGGATGTCTGGTGACTTTAGTGAAACTGTCCTCCAGAACTTTGGTCTGCTCCTCCGCCAGCATCATGCACTCCATGGCTTTAGAAGACATGATATTCCCGGGTGTTATTCCCTCTTTACGCTGCAGTCTGTCCGGTTCTCAGCCTGCGGTCGTTGCTCCTACGCTCTGCGGGGAGAGAGTGCGCACAGCCGGGGATGGAGAGGCGCGCAGCTCGGCGAGAGTGTGTGGAGAAAGTGGAAGCAGTGTGTGTGTGAGAGTGTGTGTGTGTGTGCGTGTGTGGAGGTTTTACTACTGTCAACAGAGGTACGTCACGAAGCTGAGCCCCTCCCATCAACACATCAGTGACACAGCTTGAAGGAATATTATGGGAGTGTTGTTATAGCAAGATGGCAAAAATAAATAGAAAATGATGAGGAAAATAAATAAATAACTTTTTGGTGTGCAGGGATATCAATTAAATAACAAGACGCCTATTTTTTACTGGAAACTGATACACTGAAATTGGGATATTAAAGGAGAAGTTAAAAGGCTCAAATATGACTATATGTACTATTACATAACAGGAAGTAACGTTTTAATAACATCTTTAAATTGATACTCAAACTGTTTTTATAAATTCCACATTTAGTTTCTGATACTGCCACTAGAGGGCAGTTTTTCAAATCTCGTGGTGTAATAAAGTTATATTTATTAAAGGAAATTCAATCTATTTGTAATAGATGTTTAAGCTATTGGTGTCTTCAATTAATATTTAAATAAAGATCAAGTTAGGCCCAAACAAGTCTGTAGTTGACCCGTAAATATATCAAAACAGGGTTTAACATCTTAAAATATATATATTTTGTGTGTTTTCACAACAATATAAAATATGTATATTACAGAGGGAATTATGTTTTCTTTTACAACCTTAAACTATCTCTACACAGCATATATCATTCATTAATAAAAACTACCAAAGCCAATCATTTTTCTTAAGTACCAAACCTATATTGTATGTTTTCTAGACTGGAGGATGTTTAGAAAATGTATTCTCTTGAAACTAAATGATGTTTGTGTGATGTCTGAAGTGTTCAAAGCTGTTGTTACGGTGCTAAAGCATCAAAGTGTTTGAACACAAACATGTAGAAATTGTCCTTTTAGTATTAGAGTATTATCTCCGCTGACGACACAGCTGATAACAAGCTGTCCGTTTATGACATAATAAAACATAATACACAGTTCTGTGGGATGCAATAAAAAACGTACGTTGTATAAAGTCACGCAGCTGCAGATGGACCCGGTTGTATTCAAAGATAAGAAAGGTAAATCTTGTCAGATCCAAAGTTCAGTCTCTGATCGTAAACGAGATCCAGCTCTCAGGGTTTTTGTTAATTATAAAACATTGACTTTCTTTCACTGTTTTCACAAGTTATCAATTATTGAATTTAGCTCCAGTCTGACTCACAGTGGGATCAACTCCATCTGTGGCACAACCTCAAAAGTTTCTCTTCATTAGGGAACGATATGGAAATATACAGCAACACATAATAGACCAGTAAAATGGGTGAGTTTAAGGAACAAAATGTTATTATTTCATGCATTTTTAATACAATATATAATCAGAATGTCATGTTAGTCTCAATGTGTTTTAGATATTGCAAAAAATATATATTTTAGAGGAAAACGCATGAAGCAAAAGAAAGTATTACACATTATATTTCAGTGAAATGGGTGAGTTTACGGAACAAAACAGAAATAAAAGTTATTATTTAATTAATTTTTAATACAATATATAATCAGAATCTCATGTTAGTCTCAATATGTTTTGGATATAGTAAAAAAATATATATATTTTTACCGTAACAACACTGAAAAAACTGAGATGTTGACTAATTAAATGTCAACACATTTCCCATAGCTGTAGTTGAAGGCAATAATATGAAGTTGAACCTAATATTTTGTATTTAAACTTAATATGATTGCTTTCAACTAACTTAACACAGTAACGTGAAATCTGTTGACATATAGAACATTTCATTAAAGTCAACGTTTCAGTTGTTTCGATGAACAGCATTAAAGCGAACGTGAGTATGTCCCGCTCTCCTGGAGATAAAGGGTCCCGACCATAGACTGTATATAAAGGTCCCGACCTGTGATATTTTTACTGGTGTTGGACTCACACACACACTCTCTGTTATCAGTGTGTGTTTTCTATTTCAGGCTCTTTATAGAACCCGTTATCCTCACTGCAGTCGACCTGTTGACCGTGTCAGATTATCTGTGTTTATTTCTGTTTATTTATCTGACGGCTCAGGGTTTTGGACCCGACACCACCCTCAGAGGCGGATTGTTACCAAAATAAACTCCTCCTGTGAGATATGAGCGCTGAAAATCTCACTTTTCTAACGTTTTAAGAAGGGGGTTTTGGTTTCATGACTGGAATAAGGTCTGTGGTTAATGCAAGCTAAAGAGATTGTTATGTTTTGTTCTAAGATATAAAGTGAATATTGAAAAATACAGTGTTTTGATGTTTTTGTTGTTGTTGTTGTGTTCATACTCAAGCTCATGCAAACTTATTTAACCCTCCTATTGTCTTCGTTCCGCCCCTTACTTTGGTGTTCGCGGCCAAATTTGACCGGTCCTGTTTTAACTGCTATTACATTAACACAAAAACCATTAATCATCACCAAATGTTATTTAACACCCTTTCAAACTGTACATATTGTATCAGACTACTGGTATACATGAACAACTGCAGTACATATACAAAGAACAGACACTGAACATGTATTGCGTGTGCCAGGTGTGTGTGTGTGTGTGTGTGTGTGTGTGTGTGTGTGTGTGTGTGTGGTGTGTGTGTGTGTGTGTGTGGTGTGTGTGTGTGTGTGTGTGTGTGTGTGTGTGTGTGTGTGTGTGTGTTTGATCTGATCCGGATGGTTACTAATTCCTTTTCTTTATGGGACGAGGAACACCATGGTGTTACAAAGTTGACTAAATCATCCAAAATGCAATGAAAGTGTTGATCAGCAATTGTATATGTTCAAATGTCTACTGTGAAGGATATCATAAAGCCTGAATGCAATCGAATGTAAAACTACAAAGTTATGATTGATGAAAGTAGTAAATCCCAAGACAACCCAAAGACAACAGGAGGGTTAATAAAACTTTATGACACTAAGAGAAAAGGCTTTTGTAGAATAGCTTATATCAAATTATAAGTCATGTGAACGTGGTGTGGAGTTTTTTACTGATAGCATTTGCACTTCATAAACATGTAAACACGTACTAACTTGTAAATATGATCCAGATGAACAACACATGGATGTATCATGTTCCTGCTTGAATCCAACATCCAATGGTAAAAACCAATGATTGTAATTTTGAAGAGTGAACCTGTATTTCTTGAATTCTTCATTATTATACTCTTTCTTTTGTTAAACAGGACGTTGCATCATAGTGTGCGCTATAACTTCAAAGTACTAAAAGGAATCTGATCTGATACATCTTAAATGTCCTCCCCATAAATCATCAGAAAAACAACATAAAACACAAGAGATGAGGAGATGAGAAGACCACGAAATGTCAAATGACTTGGTATAAATTACTGGGAAAATTCTTATCAATGATTATAATAATCAACTAAATTAATTGTTTGTAATAACATGTACCAACACTGGTAGCGTGCAGTAGAAGAAACTGTCCTAAACACATCTTAAATGTCTTGATAGTTAATCAGCAGGACAGTTTGATCTTCTGTCAGACGATATTTCTTAGTAACACAATCTATCTCTCAGTGACGGTGTTACGAGAGTCTCATTCACAAACTGTCCAGATAAGAAACACACTGCAGTGTTCAGGAGAGTCCAGTCTTTACTCACTGACATGATTACAGATAAGAAACGATCCATAGATTGAGTCACTTTGTTCTATTATCTGAATCTTTCTCTACGAATCATTTTCAGCCCTGAGGGTCAGCAGACTCATGATAGCGTGCAATCTCTGAAAAAACTGAAAGGTTGACTTTAATTAAATGTTCTATGTCAACAGATTTCCGTAACTGTGATTAGGTTAGTTGAAAGTAATAATATTAAGTTGAGATACAAAATATTAGGTTCAACTTAATATTATTGCCTTCAACTACAGCTATGTGAAATGTGTTGACATAATACATTTAATTAAAGTCAACATCTGTGTTGTTACGGTAAAAATATGATTTTTTCTTTCTTCTAAACCATATTGAGACTAACATGAGATTCTGATTATATATTTTAATATTAATTCATTGCCGATGTCTTTAGCTGAATGTATTTCCCTCAGTTTCCTCCTTTGTGCCGAGCCACCTGCTGTGTTCCACATAAAAACATGTATCTAAAAAGTTGCATAACGATGTCCTTTAACCAGACACTTCTCAGACATCCAGCGAGGCTTACTGCAGCGTGCAGGCATGCTGATAACACTTGTTGTTGTTGCACATAATTACAGGTAAAGTGTTAAAGTCACAAACGCTCATCACGGAGCTGCTGGGATTTCTGACTCTAATACAGATGCTGAGTCACCGCAACATCTGTCCCCTGCTGAGTCAGAGAACAACGTCATGATGTCCGACAACTAAAGAGGCTTTTTCCCTTTCCTGTAGAGCACATGTCAAACTCAAGGCCCGGGGGCCAAATCAGGCCCGTGGTGGATTTAATTTTGGCCCGCAGGATAATTTCTAATTACTATTAGATCTGGCCCGCCGGTATATTGCACGCACACCTTCACTCCATCCTGAGGGTCTCCTCAGCTCAGAGCCTGAGCCCAAACATTGATGAACTTGCACCCAAGATGAGATGCCAAGTATCTGAGCTAGCATCACAGAGCAGCACACTGAGTTTAATGGATGTTTCCTTCTGCACTTTCTCTCACGACAACAGGGCAGGTTTGGTTTTCTCTTTGAGGGAAATAGTTTAGTTGAAGCTGCTGTTGGTCTGTGGAAAAATGTAATCATAAGAAATGACTGCAGATAGAGCCATAAGAAATGAATGCAACTGATTATTTAATGTTTAATGTTGTTTTTATAGGCAATCATTTAAGCTTTGTTAGTTCCAGGTTTAATATGTGCAATAAGTTCATTTCAATAACTTCTGCAAGAAACATTGAGCCAGTAGCCATTGAGCCCTCCACTAGTACCCATTTTCTTTTTTTTGGCCCACTGTGTATTTGAGTTTGACCCCCCTGCTGTAGTGTGTTATGTAGGTTTTAGTGCATGTAAATGGTCTGCAAAGGCTAACATCCCAAAGTAACCTACAGAGGGAGTTTCTCTTC